TGGTTTAAATTATCATCCGGGTAAGGCGAATGTGGTAGCCGATGCCTTAAGTCGGAAGTCGTTGCACATGTCTACTTTGATGGTTAGAGAGTGGGAACTCTTGGAGAACTTTAGAGATTTGAGTTTGGTTTGTGAGTTATCACCGAGTAGTGTGACGCTGGGTATGTTGCATGTCACGAATGATTTCCTTGCTACGGTGTGTGAAAAGAAAAAGTTGGATTTGAAATTTGTGGATTTGATGACGAATGGAAACGAAGATTTCAAAGTTGATGAATTATGAGTTTTGAGGTTTCGAGGTCGTATTTGTATTCCCGATGATGCAGATTTGAAAAAGATGATATTGGAAGAGGGACATCGGAGTAACTTGAGTATTCATCCGGGAGCGAATAAGATGTATCAGGATTTGAAGAAGATCTTTTGGTGGTCTGGATTGAAAAGCGATGTTGCTCGTTTTGTGTACTCGTGTTTGACTTGCCAGAAGTCTAAGGTGGAGCATCAGAAGCCTAGTGGATTGATGCAACCGTTGAATATTCCGGAATGGAAATGGGATAGTATATCGATGGATTTTGTTACGGGATTGCCGAATACGCAAAGAGGACATAATGCTATTTGGGTGATTGTTGATAGGCTTACTAAATCGGCTCACTTTATTCCGATTGATATTACTTATTCTTTGGAAAGGTTGGCCGAGATTTATGTTGGCACTATTGTGAATCTTCATGGAGTTCCTAAGAGTATTGTGTCGGATAGAGATCCTAGATTTACTTCAAGATTTTGGGAGAGTTTGCAAGGTGCCTTGGGTTCTAAGTTGAGATTGAGTTCGACATATCATCCGCAAACAGATGGTCAAACCGAGAGGACGATTCAATCGTTAGAAGATTTGTTGCGTGCTTGTGTGCTTGAACAAGGTGGTGCATGGGACGGTTATTTAGCGTTGATTGAGTTCACCTATAATAATAGTTTCCATTCGAGTATTGGTATGGCGCCATTTGAGGCTTTATATGGTCGGAGATGTCGAACACCTCTGTGTTGGCATGAGACAGGTGAAAAGTCGGTAGTTGGACCTGAAATGGTACAGCAAACGACGGAAAAGGTGAAATTTATTCGGGAAAAGATGAGAGCTTCTCACAGTAGACAGAAAAGTTATCATGATAAAAGGAGAAAGGATCTCGAGTTTCAAGAGGGCGACCATGTGTTTTTGAGAGTTACACCGGTTACGGGTGTGGGTCGTGCTTTGAAGTCGAGAAAGTTGACTTCTCGTTTTATTGGCCCGTATCAGATTGTCGCACGAGTTGGTGCTGTGGCTTATCGTGTGGCGTTGCCTCCGAACCTTTCGAATTTGCATGATGTATTTCATGTCTCGCAACTTCGGAAGTATGTTCCGGATCCGTCACATGTGATCCCGATAGATGAAGTTGAAGTAAGAGATAACCTTACAGTTGAAGTTTTACCGGTTAGTATTTTGGACCGTGAAGTTAAGAAACTAAGAGGCAAGGATATTGCGCTTGTGAAAGTGTCCTGGGGAGGTGCCGCGGAAGGCAACATGACTTGGGAATTGGAGAGCAAGATGCGAGAATTGCATCCGGAGTTGTTTGAATCAGGTAATATTTTCGAGGACGGAAATTTCTAAAGTGGGGGAGAGTTGTAACGCCCCGATTCTGAATTCCCATTAATTGTTGAGTCTTTTGATTTATTTAATTTATGTTTGTTTTAAATTGAGAAATTATATATTATTATGTGATGTTTGCTTATTTTATCTATTTTTACCGATTCGGAGAGTTTTCGGGGAATTAGAGTAAAAAGGGCATTTTAGACATTTAGCAATTAGTGTGAGAATTGATTGGTAAGTGTTGGAAAGAATTTGAGAGGAAAGAAATAGAGATAGAAATATAATAAGAGAGAAAAATAAAGAAAGATAGTAACATAAGAAGAAAAACAAGAGAAAGAAAAGAGGAGAAGAGAAAGAGAAGAGAAAGTGGAGAGGAAAACCTAGAATCATCAAGGGATCATCACCAAAGCTTGCAATCGATCGGTAAGGGTGTGAAACTCTATCATCTCTTTAATGTGTATGATTGTATGTGTATGGGTTTGGATTTTGTAGAGTTTCTACTCTTTTTCCACTTAGGTTAGAAGTTGGTTTGATGAGTAGAATGAGGTTTTAATCGGTTAGAACTCGGATTAGACGATGTAGTTTAGTCGGGTGATGGTTGGGTTGTGCCACTGAGACTGGTTTGGATTTAATCGGTTGATGTTGTGGAGTTTGGGCTCTTGAGACAGCCATGGAAGTTTTGTCTTCGCAGGCTCGCCAGGCGAATGGCAGCGAAGCTTTGCCAGGCGAAGCCCAGCGAGCTGCAGCGAAGCAAGTCAGAAGCTAACACCCTGTATTCGCTGGCAAGTTCGCCAGGCGAAGTGAGTTGGCAAGGGTTCGCCAGGCGAGTGTGTAGCGAGCCTCAGCGAGTAATTCCAGAATTACTCCCAGTGGACTTCGCTGGGAAGTTTGCCAGGCGAAGGCCAGCGAGCATTCGCTGCGTGGCTTCGCCAGGCGAAGGTTGGCGAATCTAGCAGTGTTATTTGTTTTGCTGTTTGTTCATAGCATGATGTTTGGTTGATTCAATTATGATTAATGCCTATATGAATGATTGATGTGTGAACTGTTTTCGACATGTTGTGCTATGGGTGGCCGAAAGGCGTGAATCCTAGATTGAAGAGCCAATGGTGAATCTTGAACGTTTGGTAATCTTGTGTATTTGCTTGAATTGAATAGAAACGCATTGATAGGCTGATATGTGTGTAAACCATGTGTGAAATGGTGCATAATGTGAATGCATGATAGATATATGCGATGTATGTGATAAATGCAATGAGTATGTTTGTGAACATAGTATGCATTCTGTGTTGATCGATCCCGTGGAGGATTAGTATTGTGTAGCATCTTAGTATGCATTTTTGTGTTGATTGATCCCTCGGAGGATTTGCAGAACCTCGTATGATACGATGGTTATATTAGATTCCTTGGAGAATCGGTTGCATTGTGTGATTCCTTGGAGAATCGGTCATAACATGTAATCCCGTGGAGGATTGGTTAGAGTATTTGATTCCGTGGAGAATCTACTGAATATTTGATTCCGTGGAGAATCTGCTGAATATTCGATTCCATGGAGAATCTGATGAATATTTGATTCCGTGGAGAATCTGCTGAATACTTGATTCCGTGGAGAATCTGCTGAATACTCGATTCCTGAGGGAATTTGTTGAAATGAGTCGGTACCGCATTTGCATCTGCATAGAGTCGTGTGTCGGTCTCTATGAGTTGCATGAGTCATCTGTGTATGATGCATTGGTTGTATGAATGTAACTGTGTATGTTATATATGATTGTTTGGAGGAACATATGGTGAATGTTCATGTGTTTGTGTAGAGACATGATTATATGTATATGCTTAATGTGGTGAGAACATAATTTGAGTATAACTTGTACAAATATGAGTATATATATATACAATTTTATGCATTAATTGTTATGATATTGTTTCTCACCCTTCTGCTGTTTTATAATGCTCTATGAGGCATTGCAGAGTAGGAAGCTGGAGGTTCTTTTTGTGAAGCGATGTCTTCATTCTTTTTGGTCAATGGCTCTGATATGTAACATCTGGGTAGTTAGGAAGCCTTTGATTCTTTTGGAGTTACTTTTGTTTTGATTCTTTTGTGATACATATGTGTATGTATCTGCTGTGGATATGTTGTAAAGCATGAATTGATTGAATGGTTGTATATACTTTTATGAATGTGATCGATTCAATATTTGGATGTTTCCACTTTTATTCTAAATATTGAGATGTGGGTTACCCATTGTTGCATATCTATTTTGAGCAGGTATCGTATGTGTTTAATTTCATGATAATGTGATGCGCCTCTTTTATACCATGTTTTAATTAAACTCTGATGAAAGAAATTTTCTAAGTGCCTAATTGATTAAATGTGTTAATTTGGGGGGTATAGAAAGGGGGTGTTACACCTTTTCCAACGTTCACCGCTGTTCCACCTGAAGGTTTTCCTTTTCCTGTATTAACATGGACTCCACCTTTTCCTACGTTAACTGCGGTTCCTCCTGGTTTTGGCTTTCTAGCATCAACATTGACACCACCTTTTCCTACAGCTACTGAGGTACCTTTCTCTTCTGTCAAATCTGCATAGATTCATATATAGTTTCTGTAAGTTCATCATAATATTCATATATAGTTTATGTAAGTTAATCATAATAACTTCAAAGCTGGAGCCATGAATTCTTTGGTACTCTATGTTACTTTATATACATAAACCATTTTTTTTATCATGATTAATTGTTGGTCCTCAATGCAGATAAAAGTGTCATCAATGATCAGCAATGGGAAAATCATTCTGAATGTTGATTGTGACATGTACTCAAACAATTCACAATCTTTAAGAGATGCACTTTGCTTTTTCATGGATGAAGATAAAGGCCATGAAATTGCCTATGTGCAGGCTCCTCAGAACTTTGAAAACCTCACAAATTGTGCTTTCTAAGTTCAGTCCTCTTTGGTACCCTTATGGATTAATAAGTCCAGGCCTTCAACTTGCGTATTGTCACTATAATTTATGGGGTTTAAACTCCTTTCCAACTCTATATTATTGCATCATCCCTTCACTTTTTCTCTTCAGAGGCATTCCTTTGTTTCCACAGGTAAGAATGAATCTATGAAACTCATACATTCTGACACGCACACAGGGACACGACACAAGTAAATGACGCATCAACTGTCTTATAATTTCTACAAATTTTATTCTAAGTTTAATTTTGGTGATATTGATCAGATTTAAAGTCCATGGTTCATCCCTTTTGCTTATGTGATAGTTGGTGATTCAACATACTGTTTGATAGAGTTTTTGAGGGTAGGAGGAACAATCAAGGGTTGGTGGAATGACTTAAGGATGTGGCTATATAAAAGAACAAGTTCTTACCTTTTTGCTTTTGTTGACACCATGTTGAAGTTTATAGGATTTTCAAATTCAGGATTCATAGTATCTACTAAGGTAGCTGAAGAAAATGTTTCTCAAAGATATGAGAATGAGATTATGGAGTTTGGAACGATTTTGTCAAGTAAGATGCGTTATTTATTGGTGGAGGAAAAGGTGTTAGCACAGCAGTTACAATCTCCAATGCCATTACAAATCTCTATGGTAATTTCTTTATGCTTATAACATTATCCATATCATAATGCGATAAACAATCGAAATGCTATTAGTTTGTCGAATGATTTGTAACTGAACTTGTTTGAATTTGAATTTCTACAGCAACGGTATTCGGACAGAGTGTAAAGTTGGAGCCGCTAAATCCCGAGAAGAAAGCCATGTGGAAAAGCTAAATGAAGGTTCTTTTATCAGTGTGTGATTACATACAAGAATTCCCCCCGACTGCACAATATTTAGAAGATGGCATAATTGTGGAGGTGAGATTCGTTTGCCGATTAGTATATCAGTATTTTTTCAATGCTTAGCTCGAGCCGGCCGAGCTAAATAATAACTAACTCTAACGAAACTTGTTTTTTTCGTTATATTTGATGTCGTGTTCTCTATCAGATGATGAAAAGCAGACCTAGGTCGGATATCTATATAAACCTCCCGGCACTGCAGAAGCTGGAGACAATGCTTATAGTAAGAAACACTGCAACTCTTGCATGCAAGAACTTGGTTTTTCATCAAGTTCGTGTGGCTGATAAGCACGAAAACATTGTTTGCAGGAAATATTGGAATCTTTTAAGGATAATGAGTTCTGGTATGCAAAAAATATATCAACAACTTCACCTCGTTTGCGCGCAGCCTCTTTTCGAAAGATTGTTCCAAGGAAAGACGAGAAATGGTGGTTGCCAGTTCCTTGTGTTCTTTCTGGTGGCCTCTCGGAGAAGTCAAGGAAGCATCTAACTAAGAAACGGGACTGTGCTAATCAAATTCATAAAGCCGCAATGACAATAAATAGCAACATTCTCATAGAAATAGATATTCCAGAAACATATATAGACGATCTTCCAAAGGTTAGTTAGTCCTCATTGTTGAAACTTAAAGATCTCTCTTGTTTCTGAAAGTTTTGGTCTGAAATTTTCTGTTGAAATCTCAGAATAAGTCTGCACTTCTTTTTTTCAGCTGAAATTCTATTGCCAAGTGATTGATGATTCCTTTAAATGTGACCCTATAAGGAAAATGTCTTGGAACTTATCATCAAATTTGATAAGCTTTTTATTGAAGCCAATAATAGCAGTCGAGTCTTGTAGAAATCGGGACGATATAACTTCGTATAAGGTACTAGTAGCATGCAACTTCGATGAAACGCATTAATCTTATTGTTTATTCCCTTGAAGTTAGTTATAAAAATTTGAGACTGATAATAAAGTTAATGCATGAGATATCCTCAAGCAAAGATATCCTGAACTTTCACAAACTTCATTGGATACATGCAAGATCCAATACAATCGGGTAAGTTTCAGTTTCGACATATATGCTGTCACATATTTTGTCAAACATTGAAAAATAGAACAAGACTAAGATATATTTGGTCTGATAGATGTTCAATCCTCATTGTAAGAGAAACATGAACTGAGAAAAAAATTGCAGGATGTGGGAAAAGCGATACTAGAAAGCTATTCAAGAGTTTTAGAAGGCCTAGCATTCAACGTTTTTGCATGGATTGAAGATGTTCTTTACGTAGATAAGACTATGACGAATCGAGAAGTCTAGAAACCATAACTGTGTTTTACAACTCTTTCACAACAATGCTTCTCATGTAGACAATAGCTAGTGTGTGGAGAGATGGTGATATTCACTTGCATGTGTCAAGCAAATGACAATATTAAACTGGAGATGAGATTAAAGTGTCGCCGAAAGTTTCTCCTGGCTTATCTCAATTGATTAGGATCGTCCGAGCAGCGTGAAATCTAGAGACTGTTATAGGAAAATCATGGGAATGAAGGTAATTTAAGATCAGATAAGTATTTCAACTACTGAATATGTTTTGTATGCAGCTTCAGAAAGATAAGAGCACTGTCATTTGGATGCGCAATTTGATTCCCCAGAGTCTGATAATAATTGTATAGGGTTTGTGAAGGTCAAGATGCTAAGTATATTCAGGACCCTGGCATGCTTTCTGGAAATCTAAGAGGTTGATAAACATTGTTACTGAGATTAGTGGAATAATGGACTGGGATTTTGTTGCAGTTCATATGGTGCGCAGGGAGAAAGCTCAAAATAAGGAGCTATGGCCTCATTTGAATTCAGATACTTCACCGGATACTCTTCTTGACAAGCTAAAAGGGATGGTCCAGCCTTGGAGGAATTTTTATGTTTCCACTAATGAGCCGTATTATAATTATTTTGATAAGTTGTATTTGAGTTTCAAAGTCCATTTGCTTGATGATTATAAGGCAGTGTGGGGAAATTCAAGTGAATGGTACATTGAAACCATTAGATCAGATCTGTTATTTAAGAATTCTGGTAACAGAGTTATTTTTGATATGGCTATTTTTCTTTGAAATGTAATAGTTATGACAATACTTTTTGTCTTCAATATAAGTTTTTTTTGGTTGTATGAATCTATCTTTAATAAATAATGCTCTTTTGTACCACCTGCAACAGGTTGGAGTTGTTTCAGATGAAAAACTATTGGAACTTTTGGTTATATATATATATATATATATATATATATATATATATATATATATATATATATATATATATATATATATATATATATATATATATATATATATATATATATATATATATATATATATTATATATATATATATATATATATATATATATATATATATATATATATATATATATATATATATATATATATATATATATATATATATATATATATATATATATATATATATATATATATATATATATATATATATATATATATATATATATATATATATATATATATATATATATATATATATATATATATATATATATATATATATATATATATATATATATATATATATATATATATATATATATATATATATATATATATATATATATATATATATATATATATATATATATATATATATATATATATGCGCTATCCCAAAAAAATTGATAAGGGCTTTCTAAAAATCTAGACTTATTAAGTCGGACGTAGTTAAACCGACCTAATAAAATTTTCTTAAGTCAGGTCCAAATCCGACTTAAGAAGTCAAAACTTCTTATGTCGGCAATTCTTAGGTCAGTTTTGGACCCGACTTAAAAAGTCATTTTCAACCGACTTAACAAGCCTTTTTTTCCACTAGTGACAGTACATTGGCATTTTGGGATGCAACTTGATGAACATGGACCAAACCAAATACACTTAGGATTAATGAGGGATGTGAGCAAATTACAAACATGATTGTGAATGAGTTCAAGCAGTGATAACAATAAAGCATTATTGAATCAAAGAAAGGCACATCAAATTGCAATGATAGGCATGATGTGAAGCAAACTGTCAAGACAGATGGGAAAATGTTCAGTTCAATGCATATACATGGTCTAACAGTCCTAATCATGTTAATGATGATATTCTTAAAGTTACAAACCAAACAACAATGTCCTGGCAGAAGAAAGTAAATAGCATGGCATATTGATGAACTTGGTACAATTGTGAACTTGCTCTCAAAGCCACAATGATAAAATGACTTCAAACCAACATCAAATTATTGAAAATTAACACAGATAGACAGTTAATCATACACAAGTGTGGCTAATCCAACTTTGGAAATGGGAGGATCAATGGCTGGCCAATAATAGCAGCCAAACTGCAGGCCACAGACAAAGGGCCCTGCTGCCGAGACTCAAACAGCACACCAAACATGGATGGAGCAACACTTGAAATCACAACAGAAACAAAACCTTAACCAAAACAAATTAGGATGCAATGAGAAAACAAGAGGATCTCAATCATGATGCCAAGGTAAGACACAAAATGCAACTGTCATGCCAAGTAAATGAAAGTAGAAAGAAGTGCAATTTTGAAATCCAAAGTCATCTAGTAATTGCAAACAGTTTGAACAGGCCTATATCACAAACCTAAATCATGATATAAAGTGTGCCTATGCTTCAAAATTAACCATAAACAACATAGAATTGAAAATCACATTACAACTGCTCATTTAACACATAAAATTGCATAATTGGAACCAAAACTTGATTGGAATAGAATGAGGTTCAAAGGATACCACATACAAGCCTCAAATATGATTATGAATGAGTCCATACTTCAATTTGATCATGAAATGCACAAAACAAGAAAATGGCTATCAAGTGGCAATTGTAGCACACAATGGAAGGCAGGCTGTCATGACAGCAAAGCAAGGCATACACAACAGTTTGATTCATACACACACAGATCATAAACATTATTTAGAGGTCTAAGGCTTTATGAGCTAAACTAGAACAAATCAAACCAAAAAAGAAGTGTGTGCAGCTGTTGTGTTTTTTTTCAAAATAGTTTGGCAGCATAAGGTTACAAACTGGTCTAACAAAATGTGAGTGGCCTCAAGTTAAAAAGATAGCACATACACATCATAAATGTAATAATGAAAGAGTCTTAACTCAAGAAAAAAGCATTTGGTAATTGGAATGAGATTTGGTATGGTCATGGTGTGATTTGGTTTGAAAAAAGCAATTTGGGAGTGAAATGAAGAAACAGGTAAGAATGGATGAAACCAACAATATATACACATCAAAATCACAAAAGAGGATGAGTTTTAACTCAAAGTTTAAGCATATGACAGTTGGATCACAATTTGGCATGTGGTGGTAAAAAATGCAAAAACTGTCTTGACACAACTTGGCACAACAGGGCATTTTGGCAAGCAATGAGTTTTATGATGAAACAAATATTATACATATACCATAAATATGCTAATAGATGAGAACATGCTCAAGAAATGGATTAAAACATTACCAAACAGAATATGGCCTTGTGAAACTCAAGAAATGCAAAAGATCAATTCATGTAGGCAACAAACAAGTTCATGACAGTTAGGATGATTTGGCACCTCATACAAGTTTCAAACATGTAGAACATTGATTTTATGCACATAAATCAAGTAGAAACAGGTTAAAACAGAATATGGTATGCCATGGTATCATGAGGTCTTGAAAATGCAAGTGAAGAATGACAAAACAGTTTTTGAACAAGTGGGGAGATTTTGAACTTACAAGTACAACATACAATCTCAAAACATACTAACAAATGATTCTACCACTTAATAACAAACAAAAACTGCTCCAAATAAGGATTGGTATGCTAATCCAAATTT